GGTGCGCGATGCTCCTCGACACGCGCCCACACACACGACCGCGACATTTACCGCCCACTGCACCCCAACGGCGGCGGCTACACCCCCGCGTGCTGGCGTCTATTCCGTGTTAATCAACGCGAGTGCCTCCCCCCCCCCCCTCACTCGGTTTCCTTGTTCTGCCTTGTTCGCGCGTCTTCCGACTGCGTCACTGGGGCGCGCGTCTTTTTGGGGCCCGGCTGGCCCAGGGCGTCGGCCCCAACGGCCCCCGCCTCACCGCCGCCGCCCGGCGGTTAGGCAACCCATTCGACGCCAGGCCCTGCCAGTTTGACTGATGGATTCCCTCCAACCCTCCCCCTCCGCTCCGCGACCCGGTTGGCTCCCCGACCTACGCCAACACCAGCGTGCAACATCTATTTCCATGCTTTTTGCTTCGGGCACGAAAACTTTTCGTAACCAATTATAGCCGCCGATAGTGGTCGAAGTGTGAGGTTCCCGCACCCCCGTCTTGCAGCCCCCGCCCCCAGCCCAGCCCTCGCCTCAGCACCATCGTCGGATATTCGCAGGCGGCAGGCGGTTTGTGGCCGTTCCCTCGCCGCCCTAAAGGTGGGGCATCACGTGCGTGTACAAGTTGGGGGCGGTGAGAAAGTCTCCTCGGACATGGTGATTTTTCTTGCCTCCCTTTTTGTGACTCGGGGGCAAAAGTTGAAGAGCACGCAACCCCGCGTGTGCCCGGGGTGGGGAGCGTCGTGGCATGACGCGACGGGCGGGGCACCGCGCGGGCGTCAAGTAAAGTGGGTCAGGATGTGATTCTGGGGTGAAGCGGATTGATTTCCGGTTCCTTAACCTCACGGACTCATTCTCACTCTGCTGCCCGGGAAGGTGATGCGGTAGTTCTCCCCTCCCCGGCAACAGTTTGAAACAAATCTTTTGTTTTCTTTTTATTCTAATTTATCTTTTGAACTCCTAGGTGGGCAGCGGGTGGCCGCAGTGTCGCAGCTCATGGGCAGCAACTCGTCGACGGCGTCCTCGCTGCTGCGAGTCATGGCCACGCTCTCCCCCAAGGAGGTGCACGCGGCCGAGACCCTGGTGTCGGACCTGGTGTGGCTGCTGTACCGCATCGCCCTGAGGGACCCCAAGTTCTCCTCCAAGGTGCGCGCGGCCGGCGCCTCCAAGGTGCTGCACGTCGTGCTCCGCACGCAGGCCAGCGGCGGCCGCCTGCTGCTGCCCGCGCTGCACATCCTGCAGGTCATCACCAAGAACCGTAGGCACATCACTTCTCCAGGCCTGTCGCCTCTCCGGATTAGTTTCACGAACCCAACTGTAGACCTTCATGTTCTGCTCCGCAGCCTCAGTGTCCTCGGCGCTGGCGCGCGACGGCGTGGCCCCCACATTGGAGAAGCTCCTTAGCGGCACGGGGGTGCTGCCGTCCCCGAGGCTCCGTCTCATCCTGCTCGTCATCGCCAACCTCTGCAGGACCCGTGAGTGCGATGCAAACTCCCTAGTGGCAGCCCCCCCCCCCTCCTCCTGATGTACTTGAACACCCCCTGCTCCGCCCTCCACAGGCCCCTTCCTAGCGCGCCTGTGCCGCGGGCCGCTGCTGCCGCTGTTGCTTCGGCCCATGAGCCGCTGGGACAGCTTCAGCGGCCGGGTGCGCCTGAGGATCTGCCAGTGCACCCTGGTGGCCCTGCAGTACGCCGTCAGCTCCAGTGAGTGTGCAGGCATCCGCAGTCTTTCAAATGTATTTTTGGAACTAAATACTCGATAAGCTGGTGGTGACCATCGTGTCCAACTTCACAGAGGCGGGACGCAAGGCGCTGGTGTCGGGCTCCGGGGCCGCGGCGCTGCAACGCTTTTGCCGGCTGTGCCCCGAGGAGAAGGCGTACGACGCCATGGTGTCCCGGGTGTGCGGCATCCTGCAGCAGCTGGGCGAGCGCAAGGGGCTGCCCGTGCAGAGCTGGGTGGGGCCCGCCACCTTCCAGTACGCGCCCGGCGACCACTGGGGTGAGCCTGCTCCCTCCGGGACCTCTTACAATAAGCACACACCAGCTTCACGGCCTCCTTGTCCTCCGCAGCTGACGGCGACGGCGGCTGCAGCGACGACAGCGGCGATGAGGTGGACGACGCCGAGGACCCCGACGACGACGAGGATGACGACGGCGAGGCGGAGCTGGACGACGAGGAGGGTGGCGCCGTGCGCCAGGACACGTCGGGCCAGTCGTCGCGGAGGTCATCACACCGGGGCTCCGTCCAGGACGTCCTGGACGCCATGGCCGAGGCCCCGGACTCCCCCCACCGCAGGGACTCCCAGGAGCTCGTCATGTGAGTGCCAGTGAGGGCGGCTGCGCTGCGCGTGCTAGGACTAGGACTGGTCTGCGGACTGACCCCTGACCCTCCGGTGTGTCTGCTCAGGTACGCCCCCTTTTGCCGCGAGCTGCTGGACACCGGGCCGCGGGGCGCAGAGATGAAGCCCAACCCGCTGGCAGCAGGCGACGAGAGCTCCGGCCTGGCCGTCCTGCAGGGCGTGTGCGCGACGCTCCCGCCTCGCCGCGCCTACTGCGCCCTGGCGTCCAGGGTGCGGGCCGTGGTGAAGGCGTGCAAGGTGGCCTACCCCGACATGGTGGGCGGCGGCTGCGGCGGCCAGCTGCAGCCCCTCAGCCCCAGGGACCGCCGCGTGTGCAGGTTGGCGACGATCGAGTGTCTTTCTAGCCCCCTGCCCAGCTCAACCGATTTTGACCTAACGCTCTCCCGTATGTGTGTGTGTGCCTCCAGAGCAAAGCTCCTCCAGTGCGTGGACCGCGTGCTCCAGCCCGGACAGCTGTGGAATATTGTGGCCTACGACCTGGACAGACTGATCGCCGAAGTGCCTATCAAGCCGCCCAGCCCGGATAGGTAGACAAGACACTCTTCCTTCCCGTTGGAAGATGGCTTAGACGGCTGGAGCACATTGATGGCGTGCGAGCGGGCGGTGTTTGCGCCTGTCAACTAGGCAACAGCTGCGCGCATGTGCGGAGAGGTTGCCTTCTTTACAGGCGTACGTACCGCTCGCTCCACGATGATATGCTCCGACTGTTCTTGCCAGGTTTCCTGCTGGTTGGTGCGCCAAGCCGGATGGGTTGCCTACCATCTGGGCGGCCATGCGTTCAACGAGCCTCACGTTAGAACTATCCTCACGTTTCTTTTTATTTGTTATAGTAGGATCCTTAAAAATGACGACGAAAGTAGACTCGGATCACGCCAGGCCTCCACCAACGGATTAAGGTTCGAGTCACGGTTTGAAAGCGGAAACCTACGGAAGGCAATTCAGGTACGTAGCGTAGAGTAGTTTCCTTTTCTCTTTCTCAGACACATTATTCCCGCATTATCGTCGTGTGTTTCGCCTACATCAATAAACATCGAAATGTTACAGATCGGCCACCGGGAGTACGACCTAATCCTCTCCTCGGACGTGAACTCTACCAAGCACCACCAATGGTTCTACTTCGAGGTCTGCAACATGGAGGGCGAGGCTCCTTACGTGTTCAACATCGTCAACAACGAAAAGGCCAACAGCCAGTTCAACTTTGGAATGCAGCCTATTGTGTACTCCGTACGGCAATAAAAATCGATTTCGGTTCGGTCAATCAACTGTGGGGCGTCATAATATCCCCTCCACGCCCTCTCACGTTCCCCCAGGTCCGAGAGGCTACCCTGGGCCGGGCCGGGTGGACGCACATGGGGACCGACATCTGCTACTACCGCAACAGCTACCAGAGGCCGGACGGGCGGCGCGGGCGCCTCTACCACACCACCACGTTTAGCATCAAGTTCCCCCACAGCTGGGACGTGTGCTACATCGCCTACCACTACCCCTACACCTACACGCAGCTGCTGGTGAGTGGGCGGCTCCGACCAAATCAGAAAATATTGTAGTATTGACTTGAAACTTGAAAACTTCAAAAATCAACCCCTCCGCGACTTCAGATGCAAGTGCTGCGGTGGTCGCGGAACGCCGGCGAGGACGTGGTGTTCCGGGCGGAGCCCCTGTGCCGCACCCTGAACGGCAACGAGGTGCCGCTGCTCACCGTCACCGCCAAGGACACCAAGCAGAACCCCATCCAGGGCCGGTCCATCCTCTTCCTGACGGCGCGCGTGCACCCCGGCGAGAGCAACTCGTCCCACGTGATCCAGGGCACCCTGGACGCCCTCCTGGCGCCCACCGCCCTGGGGCGCGCGCTCCGCGCCGCTCACGTCATCAAGGTGGTGCCTATGCTCAACGTGGAGGGCGTCGTCAACGGCTGGTGAGTGAGCGGCAGTGTAGTGATGATGGTGTGCGTGTCAGTCAGCCGTTGCTAGTTTAGCCAGTTTTTCAACCCCTGATCTGCCATACATTGCGTTCCTTTTTTTATTTTCCTTGTTTTGTTTATTTTAACCTAAGGGAGTAAGGGAAGGTGTCACGCTTAAATGAATGAAAGGGGACGATATGTCATTTATTTATTTAAATATCTTAATCTTAAAAATCGATTGGGCATGTGGGTGAAAATTCTCTTCAAGTCAAACACTTAACTAACGTTATTTCGACTAATTATGTCTGTTGACCTCTCGTCAAGCTCTGTAGTCTTTAAATATGGTAGTACAATTTTAAACAAAGATTAATCTAATTAATCCCTAAACAATGGATATCACAAGGTATTGGTTTTCCCTCCCTCCATCAGGGGCGGGGAAAACTAAATTAAGCAATTCAGTCAAAGAACAGCAGCCCAGAGCTCAAGGCATCACTATGGTTAAAAAAAGAAGTCGTACAAAAATGCGTCTATTCTGTCTATCAATATTCTCTCGGTTATGGTGACCACACCGCCCTCCAAGTAGAGAGCAATAGTCAAACAATACAATTAAACTACGTAAGGTTCCATGTACACGGATAGGTGGAGGGAGGGTTTCGTTGTAAAAAAAATAAGATGGTTCTTAAGAACCTTAAAAAAATTTAACGCAGTCAGTCTTAAGGGCCAACCACGATACGCTGGCAGGAAAACTCTTTCCTTACATCCTACAGGTAAAACAAAATGAGAAAAGATGTCACAAGATAACACCTGCCCGTGTGGCGTGACATGCGACGCGGCGTCACGGGATGACGCGGCGTGACGTGACGTCACGTGGAACACCAACATGTCTTCGCACGACCTTAGTCAGAAGGCAATTCAAATGTGTTGTTCACCCCTGTCTTTCCATCTGATTTTTTTTTAAAGTGGAGGTTGTTGAAATACTGTAAGAGGACACAAAATTTCGTGGGCTGTTCCGAACTTGAAGTCCGATTGATTGTATGAGTGACTCTAGTCGTCGTGAATGCAAGGCGTGATGGTGTTCCATGGGAGGCGCGTGGCGTGGCGTGGGGTGTCGTGCGGTGGCGTCTAGTTCACAGTGGCGACCCCGCTGACGCGCCTGGGCACGGGGATCTCCAGCTTGATGTTGGCGGGCCAGCCCCAGCCGATGCCGGGGGCGGCGGGCTGCTCGAGGAACTTGCCCCTGGCTCGGGCGGGGGCGGCGGGCAGGTCCGTGGGCTGCGGGGGCGGCTCGGTGCCGGCCAGGACGCTGTTGTCGGGCTGCGCCTCTTCGGGGACCTCCTCGGCGATGGCGGGTGGGCTGGTGGACGCCGCCGGGTCAGAGGCCACGTCGGAGGCCACGTCGGCGGACGCCTCCTCGGCGGGAACCTCGTTGCCGTCGCTGGCATCGTCCTGGCGCAGGTCGATGGCCTCCGTCGTGGGCGCGGGCGCGATGGTGGGCACGGGGGTGGTGGTGGTCGTGGTGGTCGAGGTCGTGGTTGTCGATGTGGCGGGCACGGGCTTGTCCCTGTTGTTTCGCCTGCAACATACCCCACGCGACAATCACTTACTCCAGGAAGCCAGGCACCATCTCATTCAGGAGTTCAGAGCTTATACAACAGGAGTGGCACTTATGAACTTGATTCCGAGTGACTCATGAGACCACCCGCTTGTAACGCAATGCACCTGGGCGTCCAGGACGGATGGCGTCGCTGGCAGGGCGTGGCGGAGCGTTGCAGTCGTGTGGAAAATCGATTCTGCCGGCGATTCCCCGGAGTGACTCGACTCTACCACTAAAAGTCTCATTGTTTTGTCGAGGAGGATGCGAGGCTGGCGCGAGGCTACTCGCACCGGCGGGAGTGGATTCGTGGAGCTATCTACGCACTGACCTTGTCCGAAAGCCCTCCTGGGAGTGGGAAACGATTCTGCCCGAGACTGAGAGAGGCTCGAGCAAAAGGCTCTAAGCACCGCGGCAGTTGTTCACGAGAAACGAGGTAAAGTCAGCTCCCACCGGTGGTGACTTCCCGGCCGCGTTCGCCCATTACTACCATTGCGAAACCCACTCTTCAACGAAACGAACGAAAGATGCGAAACTACTCGCGTGTGTGTCGCGCCTGTTCCTTACAGTGTTTACACACGATAACTATTTTCGACAGTGGACCGTCCGCGTGCATGGCGCCACCAGCCCCGCTCTTTCGCACGGTTCGCGACGGATTCCAGTCCAATTTCGGCTATTACGCGGGCTCAATAAGGCGTGTGCCTTTTTATGTCTCATTTTTAATCATTTTCTTTTATTGTAGCCGCCGTCACGTCTGCTGACGAGGTCGTGCGAGCTTGGCCATTAGCTCGGACGGCGGCGCGTCAGCGAAATCTTGACGCTTCCCTATAATTTCTCAGCGGCCATCCCCATCCTCCACCCCACCCCCTTAACGTCTGCATTTCCTTCTTTTGGGTTGGAGTCGAAAGGAAGGCGAACACTTTGCACAGGATATTTACACTATATACAGCCGTACACCACGGTTAATATGGTTGATGATGTTAGGAGTAGAGCGTGTTCGTAGCGCACCTGCTTACCCCTGTGAGGAGGACACGGGGATGGAGCCGTAGTTGTAGTAGTAGCAGCGCGTCTGCTCGCAGATGAAGTCCTTGACGCTGGTGCAGTCGTCCACGGACCAGCGGAGGTCGGGGGCCTTCAGGGCGACGCAGCCGCTGCTGGGGCCGCTCTTACTGCGGGTGCGAGAGAGAGAAAGAGGGCAACGTTACGCGCTGATCGAAACCAAACTTTGGACCAAAGCAGCCCTGATTAACTCGGGGTTCCTTTCTTTACCTCTGGCGGGCGGAGCCGGGGCGCCTGAGGAGCGGGGCGGGCTGCTCGCTGGTCATGACCACGGCGTCCTGGGGGCCCGGGGGCGCGGCCTCGCCGTCGGCGGCCTGGTTCATGAGGTCGAAGGTGGCGTTGAACGGCAGGCCGGTGCTCATCCAGAGGAACATGTCCGTGCCCAGGCGGTTGCCCGACGTCCAGAAGTCATACTGGTTGTAACCTGGGGCATAGACGGTGTGAGGTTAGCGTGATGGTGGGCGTTGTTGAGCGCTAAGCAGCATATTCGCCGAATGTCTGAACCGCGCGATGCACTGACCTGCGTTGCGGAGGTACTGCGTGATGGAGTCCGACTTCTCCTTGGACTCGAAGGACGTGAGCTGCAGGCCGAGCGAGCGGCAGTACTGGTAGGCCAGGAAGTAGTTGAGCTCCGGGGAGTAGGGGTTCATGCGGCTGACGAAGTACTGCACGCCGTCCAGCTGGATGGTCGTGATGCGCTGTCCTGTAACAATCACAAAACGCGCCGGAGTCAGATCCTCTGCTGGAGAAGACACAGGGGGCACCGTGGGATGGGCCCTGAGGTCCGTGGCGCGACTCTCTGATAAACGGATAAGCGATCAGACAGCTCGGGTCTGGATTCATAAAGCGCCCCCACGCGTCCCCGCCAACCACCCGGAGCGCCCTTCTCCCGCCTGCCCCC